TAGGTTGGGGTTAGGGTGAGGGTTAGTATTAGGATTAGGGTTTAGTTTGCGTTAGGAAATTTTTTTCTACGTTATAAAAACGGAAACCTTATTTTGAAGTATACTATCTAGCGATCACCCTGGAATAGTTGCAGAATTTTTAGTCAAAATAGCCGCCATCTTTAATATAAGTGCCGGGCAATTGATCTCGGAACTTGTTACCCTCGCCTCGGAACTTTGTACTCGCGCCTCGGAACTTGTTACCCGCGCCATTTTCGCTGGACCCGCGCCATTTGTAGCGTTTTGTATTGACTCGCGACCTCGCGACCCGCGCCATATAGACTATCTTTCTTGAGAAGCTTTAGACTATTGTGATTGTATTCACAACAATAGACAAGAGTCAAGACAATGCCTTTCTTATCGTTTGCGTTTGCTGATATATTTGCTGTGTTATTTGCTACGAATACAGTCAAAAATTGCTTGTATCTTGCTTCTAAAGTCAAAAATGAAAAATCGAACACCGTCAACCGATGCGGAATATTGCTTAGAATAATAATGGTCGCCCCCTAACAAGAAGAAGAAGATTAGCAGCGATTGGGGACCAGTTCCTGGTCCAAAAATTAGTATCGTTCGGGTTTGTGATGTCCGAGTGAACATGAGGACATGGCCACATAATGATGCTGCACGGCCACGGGTCGGTTACTCGGTTTTATACGTGCAGATAAACTGACACAGTACGACATTGAAATCTGGCCAACGATCCATATAATGAGCAATTGTTATTTGTTCGCAAGCATTATTATTATAGTTAGCATCGTGCAAGGACAAGGACAACTGTATAATATATATTAAATGTTTATAGCTCGGACAACCTATAGTAACTTTAATATCGCGGTAGTTATATTTATATGACCAAGGCTATGCCCGATGGTGATGGCAGAGCCTTTTTGGCATATGATAATATGAAATACATTTCTGTGACTAAATCATGAGCATTGTGTTTTGAGCACAAACAGAAAGCCATACTAAATACTTAATACTTAGAAACTTGTTGATAAATTGAAATCATGCAACAATTTTCTGGTATATATTCTCTAGTACGGGAAGAAGCGACTGAAGCATATGGACATCAAGTGGGTTTAAAATGGGAGATTAGTAGTCAATTACTCAGTTATTTACGGTATAGTTATACAAAACACAAGTTTTATAAAACATATTTTGCATTCTATGACTATGTGTGTACATAACATACCTTGAAATGGGCCACAACGATATTTCTTGCTGTGTAGTAGTGTTTGTTTTACATGAACACTCGTCAGACTTGATGCACTCAATTGTAACAGCCTCGACTTTAAACATCGCAAAAAACGTTATAAAATACAGGATACGGACTATAAATTTCACTTCAAAGAAACCATCCATTTTTATATGAAATAGTTTTCTCAGTAAGCCCAAAGGCGCTCATAAACAATCGCCGACAATTATGAGCACGTGAGATGTTGCATTACTCGGAATTACGGCTCGAGGGTCTTGTTTTCCTGGAATCGCTACGGGTTACAATGAAAACATATGATGAAAACCTCAAAATGAAAGTAGCATATTGGTAATAAAAACTATTTGAAATTTTTAGACTTTTAATTAATTAATAGTTGTTATATTTTGAAGTCTTGAAATTTTTGGATTTGAAAGAAAGCTCAAGGGGCGATGTTTAATTGCTTGGACCAGACCTCTCAACTCTCACGCATTCGGCGTGAGTCTCACGCAATTCGCTTCACTCTCACGCTCTCACGCCACGTTTAGTAAATCTCACGCATATAGCAGTTTCATAGTATTTTTTCAATAATATAGTATTAATATTGTATTCTTAAATGCACATTATTTAACAATTATTCGCCGAAGGCGAGGTGATTATCGGTGAATAAAAACCGAGACGAAGTCGAGGTTTTTATTCACGATAATCACCGAGTCTGAGGTGAATAATTGTTTTAGTATAATTTCATAGGTGATTATTTGGAAACAAATTTTAAAATGCACATTTCTTCGTCATTTAATGGACAAAACGGCTTCGACCGCCATTTTGAAAATCGCTTGGGTGATTATCGCGTAATAATCACCTAAACAGCAACCAATCAGCGTGGAGAATTTTCAATAATCACCTATGTAATTATAAAATAATCATTATACGTATCGCGAATGGAATATATAATCGCGTTATTGTTCCTGCATATACGGCCCGACATTTTGCCCGCAATTTGGATACAAAATAGTACGCATATATATGTGAATACGGCGGACAAAAGGCAGAATCAGTCTGAGCAGAATTCTATATGTAAATTATCAAAGGCAAATTAAAGCTCATTACTGCATGTTGCAGAAATACAGTTATTGTAACTACAGTGCCTTGTCTTAAAGGACGGTAATGTATTTCATTAAAAAAACACCATGGCCAACTCTCATAATGTACGAAATGCCATTTCAGACTCCAGGACTTTTACAAAGGTGTCATCCACATCCCCAATCTCACTCTTAGCTTCTCTGCAAAGTTGAGAGGTCTGTAATGGACATCTGTACTTTCATTTGCGCATAGCTATACTTATCAAGTTTAGCGTTTAGCCCAACTTTAGCGATTGACCACATCCGATCCGTATATAAAAAGATCAGAACCAAATATTTTTATATATTGTGGAAGAGATACCAAATCCTACAACTTTATTCTGAGTTCCACATGCAGGTATAAACAGGTCCATGCAATGAATGACAATGATTGAAGAATGGGTTTGAATGACTCAAGATGAACTTGGTTTCAATGGGTGATTCCAGCTATAGCCTATTAATTTTGTTCAAGGTGAACGAAATCCAACACCACAGCTAGAAAGAGCGTCTTAGAATGAGTAAAACTGCAAAGATTGGTTGTGTTAAATGTTGTAAAATGAAGAAAATATAGCCCTGTGAAGTTCGCAAATTTTGTATATACTCAGCATTTATATACGCGCTGTAAATACAGTATAACAACTTTCGGCTCAAAAATGGTTATTTTTCCCGCGTGCAATGCAAACCTAATATATACAAAATTTGCGAACTTCACCACAGAGGTACCCTGGATTCCAGAGCCTTCGACAGTAAATAATAAATTGAAATGTCGCGAAGGCTCTGGTTCAACGGGGCGATTCTTTGACTAAGCCGCGCCAATCACAAAACAGAATTAGTGGTTTTAGTACAGATTCTGTACTAAAAGCACTAATTCTGTTTTGTGATTGGCGCGGCTTAATCAAAGAATCGCCCCGTTGAACCAGAGCCTTCGCGACACTTCAATTTATTATTTACTGTCGAAGGCTCTGGAATCCAGGGTACTATTTATGCTGTTCTAAAACCATTTATTTCACTTTAAGTTTTAAAACAAACACTAATTTTCAGGTCCAAGTTGCGAAACGGTTGCGGCTGAAGAAAGTGTCAAAATACATGTGGTTGCCGGATGCTGCAGTTAATTGCTACAAGACTATATTTATACGACGTTTCTACGATCTATTTTCTACTCTACAACTAAAGTTAAATGAATTTTATAAAAGATCCTTTCGTGTGGGGCGGTATATAATCGCTTTCGTACAGACCGAGATGGCGAGACAGAAGCTATCCTATTTCAAAATAGCAAATTTGCATATGAATAAAAACAAACTTTGTTGGTCGAGTCTGTTCCGTTTATGTATATGTCTTTGGATGATATTCGATGTACATTTGAGAAAATATCCAAAACATTTATATATATATATATATATATATAAACCAAATCGAAGACAAATTTCTTTCACATATTACATATAGCAAATATTCTACGGCAATTTTTAATTTATATTAACTTAAGAAATTCAGCAATTTTGCATATGAAATTTATAAAGATATCAATTACGGCTTTCCATAACAAAATGCAAACGATTTCTGCTCTTCAGACAATATAAACGATCCTATATTGTCGAAATATTTTTAACCGCTAGTTCACACAAACGTTCTAACCCTAATGATGGCACGGATTGTGAAAGTTTATTAATTTGGCCACATCAGTCCGGTGAATTAGTGACCGCATACTGTGTCTTTGAATTGAAGTCCTGAGTATCGGCCCATGGTCACGAAATACAGCTTCAGCAAAACGGTCACCATTAATACAGTGCACTTTTTGGATTGAATCCTATTTTAGAGATTGATTTTTTCTAGCTGATATAAATATGTAAGATGTAATATGATACGAGCACTCAAAGTATTTTGGTAATTTCGCCAGAAGTTCAAGGTTGTCAAACGCACATATAGTTTTTAAATCGAACGCATGTATGAGAATGAGAATATTTATAATAATTGCAACATTTTTTATTCACTTACATTTGGTCGCCAAACTCTACCCGGCCTTCGATCCCCTGGTTAAACACCTTCGCCTCGATGAAAGATGACTTCGATAACAGCGCCTGTTGATAGAGGGCAGATGTCCGACAAGGTATTAAATTTTTAAAATGTTTATTCTTTGTCACCTTTTTATCTCCCGTTGTGCTACTACAATGGTCCTTCCCCGCCCGGGATTACATAACAACACACTTCCGATAGCGGCGAATGTGCCCCATAGATGTAAACAAATCAGCCATGGAAACAACGTATACTGCAATTTGGATAAATTATGTTTTATACGATGTTATTCATCACGATATTTGATGCCAATTTGAGATTTTAAACTATCCTTCCGTGACTGTGCAATACTAATATTTTATACAGGTAAGTGGCCACGGAAATGATGGAATAAATTGCTATATTTTAATATTATTATAAAGCTATACGGTAGTATAAAGGACGTAGTATTTCTGTGCAATAATGACATACTGTATCTAGAGTTGGAATCACAAATTTTGAGGTATATACATGATGTTTAAAAACATTGTCTGTGAAACAAATAATCTACGACGATCGTAAGGTATAAAGAATATAATTCAGACATTCCAACCACTGGAGCTATAAAATTTATAGGGAGACTGCTCTCAGTGCTCTGAGTGACGCAGTCATGCAGTCAGTTCATGAGTTCCAAAGCAAAGAGAAATCTAGTTCTTCTGGGAAGACATCCATAGTCTTCTGGGGGGGGGGGGCATTGGGATTTACCGTATGGCGGTATTAGCTTTTTTTCGTACGGTACTTCGGTATTTTCCTTGAACATTTGCTGCATCACGATATTGGAAAGCTTGCGGTATTATGGTATTGAATACCCCCCCCCCCCAATGCCCTCCTCCTTCTGAAATGGCATTATTATCACATTTTGAGAACATGTTATTATAGTGAACCCAGAAATTGTCATAAAGTAACTTCATAAAAAGGTCAAGACAGACTGTTATATATATGCATGTTGCTAAAAACAGTGTGTTTATGATTTTCTTAACGATATTTCCTGAATATTCTGAAAAATGAGCAGACATTAATTAAACATGCATCGGGAGACTGGGAGATTTTGCATCCCCGGGAAATCGGGAGAGTTGCAATTTCTGAAAATTTCAATTATGCCGGAGGCCTTAATAATTGGCCTAATTAGGTTGTTTGGCTAATAATTAAAGCCTGCATGTTTCAGTCACGACAGTACTGTCATGAGTGAAACTCATACACAATGCAATGCAATTGGTGTAGCTCTGTTGGAGAAGATTCATGCTACTTATACTGTAGTATGCTAGCTTAGGTGGCAACCGTCGCAAACTGGCTTACAATGAACTGACCCTGCGCAACATTGAGTGTCTTCTAGTAAGTAGGTATAGAAGGCCGGACTTAATCTGCCCATCCCAACATCCTTAAGCTTGAATAATATTATATGGTACATGCTAAAAATCAATCTCTCCATGGACAGAACTACTGTCACATGTACCAACCATGGGAACAAACAACGGCACCTGCAGAATCATTATATTAAATTAAGAACCAAAACCACATGTGAAAGTATTTCTTGTGCACTTGGATTACTCATGTAATTATATTGAATAACTGGTATGTAAAAAACAAACAAACATATAGTGCCTGTATATCTCAATATACTGTACAGGTGTATGTACCACAGAATATCACAGTACCACAGAATACCAGTATTTTTATTACTCTTATAAAATTTGAAGGAAACATGCTATTACTTTATTTTTGTGAATATATATATATATATATATTAGTTTTTGTCTAAATGGTCATTATATAAAAGCGAAAAATGGATATCATAAAATTCTTAAAAATAATCAGGATAAACAATAAATAAAATTCCTTATTTTTGGTACTTTTTTTCTGCTTAATGCCCGTAAAGTCAGAAAGTTTGACAATAAGTTAGCAAACCAACATGATTTACATTCATCAACAGCTTTTCTAAGTGGTACAACATTTTTACTATTCAGGAATCTCACTGAGTAATCAAATTTACTATAAAAAACTCAATTTTTCAAAATTATTCATTGGTAAACCTAATATATACTGTGGTACATACCACTGGTATTCTGTAGTGATTTTAGTATTTACCCTCCACTAAATTAAGTTAGCAATATCTGTACAGTGTTATCACACAACATGACACACCAAATCCTCGTACAATTTGATAAACCGCGTTCTTTACTTATTGCCACACTGGTATTCTGCACATTAGGATTTTATCCACAGATTGTCTGATTTAAAAAATAATAAAATCTGCCAAATTCCAAGACCCCACAGGAAGAAAAAAATAATGAAAAACTATACTAAAAAATATTTAACTTCTAGGCTAGTTGGTATTTGCACAAGATTATAAGAACATGTCAATTTGTGTGGTATTCTGTGGTACATACACCTGTACCACAGCAACCTACTTATATCTGTCCATCAAGCTAGTTGCCTTAATTTTACATCATCAGTATGGTAACTATAACCCTAATTCCAGACTTCTGCAGAAACATGTACTGCATGCCTTTCTACTAGTTATGTAGGGGCAGAGCTGGTATGGAATCAGCTTTCACAGGGAATATTTTCCATTAATGGGGTTTAATTTTAATGGTTTTTAAATTCACCATGTACTACTAGTTAACTGCAATATGTAAAAAACTGAACTCTTACCATTATTGGTTATTATATAGACCATAAATGAATTGATAAAAACCATGATGATGTTTACTAATATATTTTACCATTTAATGGAATTTTTATGTGGACAGCAAAAAAATGAAGTACCATTAATATCAATGGTAAATATTAAACATCATGATTTTTACTAATTTACTATGTGGGTAATCTATAATAACCCATATATGGTAAGAGTTCAGTTTTTGCATTCAAATTAAAACTCGTTATTTAATGGAAGGTTAAATTTCCCCCTGTGTTTCATAGGAAAGTTATTAAGATTTTGTTAATTATGAGAATTATATACCTGTATAGCTTACAGTATAGAAATGGTCACATAGAGGCAGGGGCGTAGGAAGCTGCTAAAAGTTGGGGGGGGAGGCTTTGAGGGGCACTTTTCGAATAAAAAAGGCCTGTAAATTTTTTTCCTGGAAATGGTGGCGACGGGGGGGGGGGGGGGCAACTCAATAAACTTTTTCTGGACATACCAAAAAAAATTTCCGGATAGATCACACTTTTTCCTCAATATGAACAATTTTTTCCGGACATACCAAAAAATTTTCCGCATTTATATGATATTTTTCCCGGAAATGAAAAAAATTTTCCGGAAGTAACATAAATTCAAGTTTTCAAAAGAAAAAGTGCAATCTTAATAACATTTTTCACGCAACAAAAAGGGCACTTTGATCCCGGAAAAAGGGCACTTGGCAGAACTTGGGGGTCTGGCCCCCCGGTTCCTACGCCCCTGCATAGAGGCTCCAAAAGGCCCCAAGAAGTAACGCATTAAAAACTAAGAATAAAGTCAGAAACCCTTTACGCAACACAATGGATATCTCCTTAAAACTTTCTGAATGTGATGGATACTTCATGGCTATACCGAACATTTAGTAAATCATTACTAATTTCAAGAATCTGCGGTGGTTTTGACAGGAAATTGGTAGCTCCTGTTGGAAACCTTGGAGCGGGGGATGGCGCAATGTACTCCTCAACTATCCTGTAAATACATTCTCTAATTACCTCTTTCATTCTTAGTACTGCATGTTATGTAAATAATTTTAATTGACCGATTCAATCACTAGCTATTTTGCATTATTTTATATTATATGCATTACCAGGCTAATATAAACACTTCTTAACAGATCAGGGGCGTAGCCAGCCCTAAATGAGACAATTGAGTGGTGTGGTCAAAGTGTACAAAGAATTCCAGGGCGAAAATTTATATATATTTTAGGGTCTATACTGTCTACAAATGTTGCAGTATTTCATGCATTTTTGACACGTTTTATATATTGACTTATATGACAATCTGAAAGCCACAGATTTGGTATATTTTATATCTTACATGAAAGCATTCTAGGTTACGCCCCCCCCCCCCAAGTTTCTCTTCAGTTTTGGAAGAATTACAAAATTGGTCCTAAAGAAAAGTGGGGGAGGGGGGGGGGGGCTGATCTGCAAGAAGCACCGCTGCACCTAAGCATAAACTCTGGTATATAAACCGTTTAATTTCTCAAAGAGAATACATGGTATTATAATTTTTAAAGCTGCTGGTCTTGAAGTATAATTCTCAGTAAGGTAGCAGTGATTATCTTGGGTGAAATTAATTTCGGAAGAAACAACAATAACAAATATATTTTTCGAATTTAAGAAAACTGCTTTGCTGTTTCATCTGGAGATTAGCTTATTGTTTTGAAAATTCTTACAAATTCGAATTTGTTTGATAAAAGGATAGCCGGCTTTCTTCCTTGGAAAAACAATCAATTTTTCTCAACACTTAATGACAATCATTTAATAACAATCAATTAATCAGCCAATTAACATTTCAATTAATAACACTAATTTATTTATTGAACATTAATTATTACTCATTTATGCCGTATATATTAGCAGCATTGCAACAACAGCTCGCCCGGTGTGGATATACATTCAGAGTAACACCACAAATATCATATTCACCTGAGTACATTACACCAACACAGAAAAAAAATTCATATTACTAGAATACATTGGTATCGAAGGAACTAGATTCTGTTCCGAAATATCACTTACTCGAACCGTCCTCACCGCGTAGCTCAGTTGGAAGAACATTCGGCTAGCATTCCAAAGGTCGTAGGTTTGAATCCCACCGTGGCCGGGCATATTTTTCAAGCTCGCCCGGTGTGGATATACACTCAGAGTAACACCACAAATATCATATTCACCTGAGTACATTACACCAACACAGAAAAAAAAACATTACTACTGTCGTTCCAATTGAAGTGTTCCTCAAATATTGATTCAATACATTACCTCGGGCTGACCAATTCATTTCATCAAGTTCCTCGAGATATTCATACACTTCCTGTGAAAGAGCCAATTCGAAGTATTTGATCATTTCTGGTCACTTCCTTTCTATTTATGATTGGTTAGTTGCACAAACAACAAAGGTGATTGGTGCATTCAAACTATTCAACAGGAAGTTTACAATTATACTAGGAAGTGTATGAATATCTCGAGGAACTTGATGAAATGAATTGGTCAGCCCGAGGTAATGTATTGAATCAATTTGAGGAACACTTCAATTGGAACGACAGTAAATCACATTCAACAAAGAATTTCGCTTATCGTAAATAAGAAAACGGCTTTTCGGCGAGAACTCAGTTTTATGGTACAGTACTATTATTTAATAATAGATCTGTCTATAGAAGCCTAGAGTGCCCTAGACCTAGGGCCTTCTATTTACATGAACGAGCTTTCGTTGGTACTGTAGGTAGGGATGCAACTTTTTGCATAGATCTCTTTGACATGAGAAGGCTGGACCCTAGGAGGCGATTGTTCGCCTCGTGACGTCATTAAAGTCGATTAACCTGGAAGTCAAATGCGACCTGACGAGTAAAGGCCCTAGGTCTAGGTTTGATAGATTCTGAATCGTTCACATTGATGTTTCGTATTGAATGCTATCTCTAGGTTCAGTAACAATACAAACACTGGTTTCATCATGTTCAGTTGAATCCTCATTATCTGATCTTTGAACACCAGTTGTTTCATTTTTGTACGGTCGTATTGTCAAAACTGTTGTAGCAAGTTCGGGATCTTCAGCAATAAGTTCATCCACCACACGCTTTACGTTTATTTTCAGCCTTTCATCCCCTGCCCTTTTCTGTTCTTCGCTCGATTTCAAAACCACAGAATTGTAAATATATGGCAAAACACTGACACTCATGGTTGTTATAACTTTCACAGATGAAGTAGCATGACTTCTTTGGAGCATCATAATCATATAAACAAAAAAGCCTAAAAAATAGAGCGCAGCGAATACCTGAAGTCCGTGAAACCAAAGGTTCGTATGGTATGGTAAAAGTCGTTCTCGAATTTTGTGATAAAGTTCTCTTGGGAGTACAGGTACAATCTCCCCACTTTCCTTTTGACTGCTGCTTTGGATGCCTAAATCATCGTTGTTTTCGCTCGTTCTCTCTCGATATTCTTCGTAGATGAACATTTTTAGTGCGAAATATTTACTGTCCATTGACTTCCAAAACTGCAGGGAGTAGAAAGTGGATACCGAGACAACAGTGATATATGGGATGAAATATATTAGATTTGCAAACAAACCCAGATAAAGAGGAATCCAAGAGAATAGAAATATTACGCCAAAGAAAAATATTGAGAGAATCAAGATGAGTGCCTCATGCATGTGTCGAAGCGTCTGATAACGTGATTGAGCACTGCGTGTAGCTTGTTTGGAATCTGAATGAACGACAATTTTAAACTTTTTATGCATATAAGCGCAAATGGTAGTAATTATTAGAATGATTAGCATGACAAACACAACAGGGATATAAACCAGACAAACAAAAGTGGTAAACAACCACAACACCGCATATTTTGGCACACTATTACAATTGTAATTTCTTGACAATCCCGAGATGACTACCTTGTCTAACACGCAGTACAACTTCTTAATTGTTTCATACCACTTTTTGATATTAAATGGAAGAGAAATCAATAACAGTAAATTAGTATTATGAGGCGAGTGTAAATCAGTAATACGACTCGAGTGTAAACCGCGAATGTCATATTGTAAGTACAGTGACATGAATTTCGAAAGACAAATGAATGGTGTTCCCTTCAGTATATGCAGACGCTGGTCATCTTCAGACAGAACAACGCCATTTAACAGTTTGGTAAATGGAAAAAAGATCACCCAGTAGATGAAAAAGTAGTTCAAATAGATTTGCCTACCTTCTAAATGCTGCCAAAAATGCAAAGTATACAAAATGGAGGTAAGAATCACAAACACGAACCTGCGGATTTTAGATATAGCTTTTCCATGGTCTTCGCTGACAATATATCGAACAATGCAAGGTATTGACATGGTGCTTTCTGTCAGATAGTAATATGTGTTATTGTTTTGATGTGTCAGTGAAGTTTGCACGAAGAAAGGGCAACAGAAAATAACAACAAAAACAAAGCCCATAAGAGTAATGTAGACAGGGATGTTAGGAAAGAAAACGAGATTTAAAACGTCATTTCTGTATTTATCTACGTCACATTCATATTTAGATTGGTCGTTTTCCGTCATCTTACAGCACGTACGGGTATTAGGCAACTGGTTGACTTTTCCTTCGACATAACAAACCTCACAATCTGTCCGTGACGTACTGCCAATGAATCGTTTTAATAGACTTGCCGAGACAAAATCCCTCCTATTTTCCATTGTTTGTATGCATCCTGTACGACTTTCTCTGACATGTAAGTCATAACGCGTACGACCAGCGCTCAAAGTCCAAGTAATAATCAAGTATTTTATATCAAGCCATGATATAATCACTCGACCATCGCCATTTACAAAAGTTATTTGCAAATTCGGAAACAATGGTTCGTTGAAATTGGGTGCAGAAAAGACCCGAAGATCGATCATGTTTACGTGGTCCATTGTTAACAGTCGTCTGATCTCGGCAACCTCGGCCTCGTCGATCACGAGAACACAATCTTTGTTTCCCAATTTGAGATTTGTCTTTGTATTATCTTTGGGAATGCTTGGTTGTGGTTTTTGGCGTGAAGTACTCGCACTCGTGGACATGAAACATGTCATACATACGCAAAGCCATAAAATCGAGAACATAGTGATGGTAAAAACACAGAAGCAACTGTTATTGTCTGCTGCTTGCCAGATATCGTTTTTATTGTCTGGAATTTGGATTACCTTGTTCAAACAGGCTATCAGTTCCTGCATAACAGGATACTCAGGAATTCAAACAAATATTGACCCTTTGACTTTATTGCACATTATTTTGCATAACTTGAAAAGGTGCATGCGTAACACTATATACTAATCTGAAAATGAATAAATGTAATGCGTTGTAGCCGCATGTTTAATTTCCGGGAAACCTGTAATATCATCCTGATATTGGCTGATAACGCAACATTTTGGGTATCACAAACCGGAAGACACCTTTTCCTGGCAAGTAGTTAACATTTCCCCCACCTTGGCAGATTTAAAGCTAGGCTGGACTTCACGTAGCCTACCACGTACGTTTTTCATTTGATTAAATGATTAATACATTGAATTGGGCAATCATTTGGTTTAAAGTTTATTGCATCCCTATACTACATCATTCAAGCAAAGCAGTTAATTATGGAAATTTGAAATACCGGAAAGCGTACGTGCCTTTGATGCTTGTAAAAACATTTTACTTTCTATAAAGACCGTTATTCTCCTGGAACGATTAAGGCCTGTTTTCCACTAGGCGAATTTTGTTCGCGCGAAACGACTTTTTCCTCTGTCGGCGTCGATTATCACGTGAGCAAAAGCGATGACGACAAAGGAAAAAGTCCGGCTTAATACAAGCTTGCTCTCAACAAAACATGTGGTACAACAGGATGACATCAACGCAACGTGTATTATTTATTTTTGCATTGAACGAGCGACTCAGAGTGCAGCGTATTTGTAAACAATTTTAGTGACGATTTCAATACCAATGGGGGCAAGTAGATATCACTCTTCAGCACTTTAATAAAAAGCGTTTTTACACAGGGTTAAAAAATCATTAATATTTCATGAGGAAAATACAAAAGAAATCACTGCCGTGTCGGTGGTTTTATATGTGATAAAAAATCATGTGCTGATAAAGTACTCCTGCTCCTTTTTTAAATGACTTAGCACAAACTAGACTAGAATGGTACTAAGTTATTCTGTATAAAAAAAACGTCACGTATTTATAGGCTTTTTGTCTGGAAAAAGAATTATTTAAGTTCTTTTTTTGCATGTGTTACATGTTAAGCGGCCCGACTGCGGGTTACCTACCGCTCGGGAACCAATCAAAATTTTGCCAGACTGCCTTGCCATGCCAATAATGTATATGTTATTTACTGTACTCTGCTGTACTGTACGGGTCGTTAATGTCATGTTCAAATTGTAGGGTATTTTCTCTCTGCCCCAATATGCTAATGAATATTTATGTTATTTAGCTATGTTGAGATTGAGCAATGACTCGTCAGGAAGCATGACTGGATCAGAGTACGATGCACGTTCGTTACGATCACTCAAGCAAACTACTTTAAGACGATATGATTCAAGTAGTAGAAACCCAAAGCAATGGTCACCTGATGTTAACATGCTATTATCCACATCTCGATGGCTTGAGGTAAGTACAATCTCGAACGGTGTGTGTGCGCCAGGATTCATACTGCGAACACTGTAAAAGATTCAACTACCTGAAAAATACAGCAAGAAGTTGGGAATCTGAACCTAAGAAATTTTAACTCTGATTCGAAAACTCTCAAACAAAAGTGAAAATGTTAGCCCACATGTGGGTCATTAATTTGCAATACTTAATAGTATTGACTTCTTGAAGAGGAGGATTTTCTTTGCTAAAATGGTTGAAGAGCATAGAATAAAATTAAAAACTATTTGGTATTTAGTTGGCATTATAAATTCCTTTTTAAATATATTCGGAGGAAATTCCATGCTTCTAGCTACCACGGAATGACCGTCACTAGGATAGGGTTAAGACTATGTGCACACGGTAACGTTTTCGAGCGTTTTCGGCTGTAACGTTTTCAAAACGTGTCGAGTTTTCAAGCCGTGTCCACACGAAAACGGATGAAAACGTCATCTTATGATGAAAACGTTCTCAATGCTAAAAACGTTTTCGGACAAGTTTTCACGTTGAAACGCTAAAAATCCAAGATGGCGGCTTAAAATCAAAATATTATATTTTTGTTTCCTGGAAGCTTAGATCTTTCATCGGATCATTAATTCTTAAGCTAAAATCTTGAGCAATAAACAAAACAAAATGAGTAGCTTTCAAGTGTATAATGATTTATGAACGATTTAAAATGTGTTTTGCTTTCGAAGAAGCGACAGACTTCGTATCGGTGATGCCGAACATAGATATAAACTGTTTACTTTATTACAATGAGCAGAGGACATTGTAAACAAATAATGACTTCATCTGGTGGAAAATAAATGGTGATAACAAGCCGCTAGAGATGGAATTTTTATGGACAAGCATTTGCATCTCGTGAAAACGTTTCCGTGTAGACAGAGTGTCAAACTGACAAAATTGGAAACAACATTTTAGAAATGCTCGGAAACGTTACCGTGCGCACATAGTCTAAGTCTGGATGCGATCCGACTAGTCGTTTTCTTAAGTCTTGGATCTTATTTCCAAATTTGTCGATGTTGACTTGTAAAATTTATATCCTCAGCTTCAAAGTGATCGAAAGATTACCCAAAATGACAATCGGAAGATTTAGCACATTAAAATTAGAAAATTTTACCAACGATTGTTTTGTGTTGCCTTCCGGTAGAAAATCCACTTTTCATTTCTGTCCGCCGTATACTATATAAACTTCTGTATTTCTTTTTACATTTCACTGCCAAATATTGCCGCTTTACTCACTCTGAGCTGCGATTTTTCCATTTTGATGGATTTTGTAATTAAAATTTTCTTAGCGTAAATCAATATTACTACTAGAAAATACATGCATGCAGAAACCCTCGCCTTGCTGACAAAACCATTGTATTTTCCAAACATGAAGTATCCAAAGTTGTTGTCATGGTAATAACACGATAATTTTTTAAGAATATTCTTACAAATGAAAAATTGCCTAAAAATATCAATTTTAATTACAAAATTATCAATTTCCCAACATATATTTGTTAGGTATGTTATTATACGTAATATAAGCTTCAATTTAAGGTAAAATTCAACCACAAAAGCTTCGCAAAACGTTTTAAAACGTTCTTTATAAAACTAAATTGCCTGGCTTTAATTAAATGGCTTTATCGATAAAACTTTGAGTTTGCAACAAAATGATTTCAAATTCTCGCATGCAAATAACTTTGCTTTCTTTTTAGTAAAAAAATTCAATATAATAAAAAAGGAATCAATATTAATAATACACTGAATTGACTGAAATTATATGCTGTCTTGTTTAGTTATTTTATATACGCAAAGGGCCAAAGGCCGTCGGGTTTTAAAGCAATTATAAAATCAATATTTAACACAAACTTACCTTCGTTAACGTCGGCTCCCTTCTTTTAGCCGATTCTTTCGCCGTTTCTATCTTGAAATTTATAAAATCTTGCAAAAATGCGAGTAAAATTGAAGTATATTTGCAAGAAATTTATCAATCATCAAGGCTGGGATCAAATCAAGAAATGTTTGCTATTTCGCTGTCGTCATACAGTCGTTATGATGCAAACTTTAAATTGGACCAATCAGTGTCCGCTATTCATGACAGTCCGCCATATTTTTGAGATCAGTGAGGATGACCACCCACTCAACACCGTTGGTCACCCACGCCCGCGATACTTGATGAACTTTAGACTCCGCTAATGCTTTCGTTTCCCCGGGTGTAAATAGCCGGGGGGAATTAGTACCCGCGCCGTCGGCTCGGGGACAAACAATCAATGGTTAATACTGTATGGCATCGTCGAGGCTTTGTTATGGATATTTGTTGCGATGCCGAAAATCCAGATAAGGTTTAAGGAATTAGAAAAGTCGAAATTTTAAAATCTTAAACTGATACAACAGTTGTCTCTATTATTCAGCTGTATAGTCTTCAGAGGTACAAACTGGAACTTAAACAGATATTGTCAACAATTGGGTTTAAACACTGTGAAGGTCAGTACAATTTTTGTAAGTAGCTATTATATAATATTAATTAAATAGCATTGTTATCATATACCATACTACTTTAAATCATTAATACCATACTACTTTTGTGGGAAACATCACAAATTCACAACCGTATTTGGCGTACGAATAGATTCATTTGTATGGGGTTTATCAGGGTTTCCACATCCACATTTTCTCTTTGAAATTTTATTCGGTGTAAAGTTATTTAATTAATCGTCTATACAATTCACAATGTTGATCGATGCATACTTTCCAAAGTTGAAGTGAAATGAATACCGCGGTAAAAGTAAAACTTTACTTTTTCTACATGGAGTTCAGTGCATGCGAACACATTTAGTATACCTTGGATACTAAATAATTAGGAACACATTTAGTATACCTATGGATACTAAATAATTATGCTCATAAAAGAAACAAAATAGGATTGCCTGAAACCTCACTCTAAAACAACCCTGAAAGGCTGAAACATAATCGTCATATTGTCTGTTATTTTCTTTCATTTGTAAATTATTTAGCGTCCACAGACCAGCTAGGGAATAATGAATTTATTATTTTTCTGCCCTCACATGGAAGTGAAAACTGAATATTCTTTCATGTTTGTATTTTTGCGAAGAAAACTATAAAACAAAGCATCGATTTGCCGTCCCTAGCTAGCTTACACCAATTTTATTGCTTGCTTGTATAATAATGATTTTTCTTGTGCACTTCTCCTTTATAGAATACGTCAAATCTCTACAGAAACCCGTCACAGCAAGTTATTCAAAAGGGCTGTTCCCACAATACGTTTGTGACGATGGAACCAAATACAATGTAAATGAAATCGACTAAATGAAAGACCGTGTACAATTATCATGCTAATAATGTACATGAAAAATGTTCTCAATTCTGAATTCTGATTGACCAAGAGCAGTGCAATTTTTTTCCAAATACATGCAGTGCCAAACTAAATGAAATACAGTGCAAAAAAGGAAATGCAGTGCAAATTTCTTAATTTTCTTAATTTTTATTTTTCAAATTTCTTAATTTTCTTGATTCTAAATGTGATCGAATTACGCACGTGATTGCATAATTTTTTCATTTATATTATTAATAAGTAATAGTATGGTTTCTCTTGAAATTTGAAAAAACATACACTCGTGAGTAACATGTAAAGACTTCAAATCATGAATGTTTTCTCACTCGTGCATGTTTTTTCCAAATTGCACTCGAAACCATACTATTATACCTATATACAAATATAATACATACCGTTGGTAACAATCGCTTTTTAAATCATTTCAGCTCTTAGGTTCTGTAGAGAAATTGAAAGAAATAGAAATACAGTTGCAGAGAATTATAGAATTTTATAAAGAAAGACTGGAATGGCTTACCACGTCAAGGTGAGAATGTGTTTTGGTATATATTTACAATACTTCAGTCGAAGTGACCGTATTAGCGTGGTGGCTGTATATGGTTGGGTTCCACTGTATGCAACTTATGGGATGTTTTCTTGATTATCTTACTTTTGTTAACTTAGGAATACCATTGCCGTGTATAGGTATAGCGCATGCAACAGCTACTTTGGAGCAATAGCTCCTTTGGAATTTTCCTTACATTTTGCAAATTTTGGATTCGTTTTTACAACTGAATTCCTTTTATGTAATGTTTCAAATCCGACTATGAGGACTGGACTAATTTAGTTCAAGTCCGCGCAATTTGATCAAGTCTGAGGCGAATTAGCCGACGAGTGGATCAAAATGCGCGAGGACTTAAAATCTAGTCCAGTCCGAATTGGAGGATTTGAAATGAAAAATAATTAATTAAAGTGACGTGAATTAATTTTGATCCAGTCCTAGGACTGGATCTATATACTTCACCAGGTATCCATTATTGTCGTGTGATCAAAATAAAGCAATATGGTTGGCTAATTTGTTCATGAATTATTAATGAGTTTGAGATACACATGTAGTGGTAGTTGGCCTGTACTTTCTTTTCATCATTGTTGTAACAAACAATCGAAAAAGACTATTATTAGAAAAATTATTAATTATAAAATTGCTGTGATAGTGTTAGTATGATGTGATCCGGCTGAATGGGATGCAGTGTTGGGCACATACTAGATACGACGAAGCATCAAATTTTTCAGCTAGCTAGAGCAGAAAAAAAGTCGAGAAATGTAATACACAGTAGTGTGCTGCATGAAGTCTGTATGCATTTTAGTAGTAAATCTAATAGCTTTTTTATATCCTTCACACAGTCGTCTTATGTTTGGTGTTATCCAAGAACAATCGATGACAATAATACTTGACCTGCAATGTTCAACAGAAGCTGAACGAGATCTTGTAAAATACGCCCTGTTTAGCTTGGTAAAAGAACAGTTGATGTACGTATCAAGATTTAATTTTATCAGGTAAGATATAAATGTTCCATTTTCGAATACAACCTCGTATAGGGTGTACTGTATATAAGAAAAGGTTTGTGCATCTCACTCTATAGAACTAAATGTTGAAAGGTTTTCTGTAGATGGAAATTTCGAGCGAAAATTATATAGTTCACTTTTTATCTAACCAGGAGTTGCTGTGAAAATGCAACTAATATAGGCCCTATAACAGAAATTGAACCTGCGATCCTACGAATTCGGTGCAGTCCTCTCACCACCTGAGCTACAGAGTTTAGTTATAGCGAGCAAAATTGTATAATTCATTTATATGTATAGTTACTAAAATGATACCAGTGTATGGTATATGGACAAATATCAGAATTTGGGGCAGTGATTTTCACTCGAAATGTCCATCTACTAAACACCTTTAACATATGTAAAAAGGTATAATTATCAAACTTTGGCATGTCCGGCATCTTGTGTTGAGTATTGAGTATATAAAACTGGCCGATTATGCAATCAAATTATGGTTAAAAATGGTCGGTCGAAATCGCCTCCTTCCACCATTAAGAATCGAATGCAAAGTGTTTTTCTGCATGATACTGTAAGTATTGAAATTATTCTCATTTCAGATTCAAATTTAAAATTAAGTTCAAAAATGGCTTAAAAACGCGCAATTTAACTACAGAATAATATTACCAGATCATCGGTATATTATTCTGCCCTGGATCTGTATATTAATGAAGCCCTGGATCAATTGAGTCTCACTACCCTGGCTGCAAGAAGACAGAACTTACAGTATATGCATGTAACTAACAAACTTTTTAAAAATGCAGTCGACGATGGTGAGAACAAACTATACATGACTCCTTGCCTCCAGTGAACTCTTCAGAAATATGCCTGCGAGGAAGAATAATGTTTCAAATTTCTAATTTTAAGACAAATAGATTTAAACGCGGAATTTAAATTACGTGTTTGACATTTTTTGCGAAATTGGTAGTTTGCAAAGAACTTGCGATACCGAATGTTTCCCACATTGGCAACCCCAATTTTGGCAGATGTCCGAAAATTTGAACAATTATTGTCGCTTTTCTTTTCCCCGAGCCGGCGGCGCGAAGCGCCGTGCGAGGGTACTAATTCCCCCCGGCTATTTACACCCGGGGAAACGAAAGCATTAGCGAAGTCTAAAGTTCATCAATGAGCGCGGGCGTCGGTCACCAACGATGGGTGGTCATCCTCACTGATCTCAAAAATATGGCGGACTGTCATGAATAACAGACACTGATTGGTCCAATTTAAAGTTTGCATTATAACAGCTGCATGACGACAGCGAAATAGCAAACAAATGCCAAACATTTCTTGATTTGATGAGTTGATAATATGATTGATAAATTTCTTGCAAATATTTTTCATTTTTGCTCGTATTTCTGCAAGATTTTGTAAATTTCAAGAAAGAAAGGGCGAAAGAATCAGCTAAAAGAAGGGAGCCGACGTTTACGAAGGTAAGTTTGTTTTAAATATTGATTTTATAATGGCTTTAAAACCAGACGGCCTTTGCGTATATGAAACAACTAAACAAGACAGCATATAATTTCAGTGTATCTTTAATATTGATTCCCTTTTTTATTATATTGAATTTTTTAAATAAAAAATAAAGCAAAGTTATTTGCAAGCGAGAATTTGAAATCATTTTATTGCAAACTCAAAGTTTATCGATAAAGCCATTTAATAGTTAAAGGCAGTTTAGTTTTATAAAGAACGCTTTAAAACATTTTGTGAATTGTTTGTGGTTGAATTTTACCTTAAATTGAAGCTTGTATTACGTATAATTACATACCTAACATATATATGTTGGGAAATTGATAATTTTGTAATTAAAAGTGATATTTTTAGGCGATTTTCATTTGTAAGAATATTCTTAAAAAATTATCGTGTTACCATGACAACTACTATAGATACTTCATGTTCGGAAAATACAACGGTTTTGTCAGCAAGGCGAGGGTTTCTGCATGCATGTATTTTCTAGTAAATTATTTGATTTGTGTACTTTATCATTTGGATAGTATTGAAGGTAAATTTTTTTCTAATATTCGCTTAAATATTTTTAATTAAAGCTAGGCAGCTTTCTTTGACGCGTAGAGACGCTTAAATCTTACCACTCCTTAGTCTTTATTTTGTTAGGTTGTGTGCGTGCAGATCGCCACGCGTGGTTTGCGCGAATCAATATCACCCGTGTGATATGACAAAAATCACTCGCCGCATGAAATACGATACGATGACGTATAAGGCATGTTTCGACGATGCAATTCATGCTCCCATAGCACACACCTATTTTTCTCGTTGCACATTTTGAATTTGATCTATAATATTTAAGAAATGGAACACATTTTCTGTGTTTCTGTTCAGATATGGGAACACGCGAGAAATAATCAGTAAACGTAGTAGAAATATCCAAATTTAAATTTGTAGAAATCTTAAAAAGGGTAGCGTAGTAGCATGGTATCGTGACAGAGATATATTAATACTTTTTAAAATTTTCAAAACGTCTAACGTACTGTAGTATAGTAGACCCTCGTATGTTATTTTGCATTAATAGTTGCGCCCAATTCCCAATAAAGTGGCAACGAAGCTCAGTAAATGTTTCTCAAGAAAGCATAGAAGAGGTTTTGGATTGGATATATGAATTGCCATGTGATCGAGCGCATGATGAAATATGTACAATTGAAGCTCTGGTTGAAGCTACTGAGGATGTGGTACAGTACAATACTGTTATGCTGTGATTTAAAAGATTATTGTCAGACTTTTGTGATATACCAAAATTTGTTTGATTTCCTTTTCTCAACCATCCATAGAAATGTACAAAATTAATGTACAACAGTGCGTGTAAATAATGATTTTTTGCGTTGAAGGTTGAGAGTATTTATCTCTGCACTGATGGTACATGTTTTGGTGACACAAATGACAAATTAAGAAGAAAAGTAAGTATCATGTCTCAATATCTTTGGAAAACAGGCTCCTAACTTGCATGCATTTCTCTTTTGCATGCATTTCCTTGAATAACCCATATTTTCAGTGCAAAATGAGATATATTTACCAGTTAGTTTAGTGGGGGAAAACTACGAATAAGTTAATAACAGCTTAACCAAATTGCACCCGCCATTTACATTTGTCAGCTTCTTCTCTATAGCTCGCAGGGTGTCCTAATTACTACGTCATCCTTAAAAGATTCACATTTTATAATTTAAATCGAATAGCTTATTCCAATCCGTTGTTGTTTGTTAGCTACCTTCCTTATCGACCCTTATAAATTAGCGATTTTGTGTTCGCTAACATTTGATATTTTATGTAAGTGTCAACATTGAAAATGAGATATAGAAGCCTTGGCATGGAATAGAAATGCTCCAAATTTAGGGCATTGCGCCTTCCCTACCCCGGTTTCTGCCTCATTGCTAATATTTTTTGCTGAAACATAATTTTGGTGATAAAGACCACCTTTGAGAGAAAATGGGTACCACTATGTATATCAGATTTATTCTGTAAAAATGTCTCATCAAAGACATTGAAATACTTTAAACCTAATTTTCATAATTTGGTTTCTGATTTTCATAATTGAAATATTTGTTTTGCCAGTAAGTAATTCTATTAAGTAATCCTAGACGGCAAACAGTTGGTTATTTTAATAGTCATATATTAATTAATTGACATCATTTATTATGACAGTAGTTAAGCCGGTTTTCCACTAGGCAGAATTTTTGCGCGGAACCGGAATTTTTCTTGCCTTTTCTAATTAGTTCCACCCACTGAGCTATAATATTACTGGAGGAAGTGCTCGGCAAAAAAAGTGTCCGCAAAAATATGGCGGATTTTCGCGCCATATGACGCCATTTCCATGACAACTGGTTCCTCCGGCTCATGGAATTACCGCTTACCTGTCTCAATTCTGAGCCCGCTGCAATTTTTACACCCCCCTGGTTCTATTGAAAATATTCTTGCTTTTCCAAATTTTTGCAGTAAATTCTCGTTTTTATTTTTTCGACTTTTGACCATTTGTTCAAAGATTTAAAAGTTGTACACGCGATTCTCACCCGCCAAAGACAACAAACCAATATGAAAACCCCGAGAAATTTAGCCAAAAGCGATATTTGATGGCAAAGCTCACAGGTAAATATTTCACATACTATTGATATGCTTTTATTTTTAATTTTTAAAAGATAGTGGGAGTAAATGATACAATATAATCCATTAGATAACAGACTCTTTGTATTGTATTATTTGAACGTATTATTTTCCCCCGAATATTTAAAGTTTTGTCGTAGAAAATAGAGAAACTTTGTTTAATTCAGTTAATATTAAAATCAGTTTCTTCCCTCAAATCAAAGGGTAAGTCAGTTAATATTAAAATCAGCTTCTTCCCTCAAATCATAGGGGTTTTCTATATAGACTGATGACTGAAATCTGACATGCTTGATTTTATGCAATTGTATGTGCTAAATAAGTGTATATATACAGGTATAAAGGCATGAAACAATGTGCTTCTATCTATATTCTTTGTGTTTATATATACTAGAGTCTGTGGTTATTATAGTATGCATAATCTAGGGTGCCAATAGAAGCTAGCCTAGGGGTGCCAGAAGCTCAGGATACTGTGGGCAACTTATCTGGTAATATGATTTCTACCTAGCTATCTGCATGGCTAATGGCATGTTGGATTGAGGATTCGTGAACCACTAGAACTAGGATTGTAGTTCTTGAATGCTGGGTACCAGTCACAAGTCTAGGTATAAGCAAAATATCTAGATTATAGGCTTTATAGGGTTGCACTGGATCTCATTATACAGGCCAGAACTGAGAAAATCACACATGCTAGTCAGACATCAAGTCAGAAACAATTTAATTGGTAAATAATGTCACTTCCAGTCCCAGGTGGATTTAATTGGGGGTTTTGTTCATTTCAGTCCTCTCTCTGTGCACCCCTGTATGATACAACTACCTGAAACTAAGAAATCAATGACCTTTAGTATTATTTTTCAGGTAGTTGCATGATACATTGAACCCATTATTAGTGTGGTGGCCTAAGCTGCTTTTCTCATTTCCTTTTTTCACTTTAATTCTTTTGTCTCTAGTGAAAACTTTATTTTACAACATTTTAATTATATAATCTCTCTTTGCAGAATTATTTGATGGTGAGACAGTTCATAATTCAACCTCTTTATTACAGAATAATCAATTATCAATTATTAGAAATAATTTTGTGAGCAGTGAGCTAAACTATCCAGACAAGTTATTATTATGACTTTGTAGCCGGATGGGTATGATTTTGCTTTGGCTGTTCATCATTTTGACCCATTTTGATATGTCTTGTGGTACCTGTGAATGATTTTGATGCAAAATGAATGACAGAATATCAGAATGTAACATTACATTAAGATACATCCTTACACTGTGATAATATAATTATAATAATTATGTAATAGATGTTCAGTGTGAAGAATATGGTATTTGACACTATTTGTATGTATTAAACATACTATTGTGTAATGGAAATCATCAAATAAAGTTATTTCTGCAACAACCCTTGCATTCAAACACCTTATTTGTATTTTTCTTGTTCATGCTTGAGCATCAGCCTCAGGATAAGCAAATTCCATTGGATTTCAGAATTTTTTCGAGTGAATTGTTTCATCTACAAGCAGAGCAAAAACTTAAAACTAACACACTTTTTCCTCGACTGCAAAAATATCAAGATTTTCAGTTGAAACTCGAAAATTATTAACAAAATTTGTGCAAAAACCAGGGGGTGAAGGATTTTATTTCAAGCGTAGGATCGCGGTTGGTCAGTGGTAAATGTCATGAGCCAGAGGAAGCAATTGGCGTCAGCAAACATGAAAATCCGCCATGTTTTTCCGGACACTCGTTTGACGGATAGATAGGAGCACGTCCTCCAGTAATATTATAGCTCAGTGCATGGTTCCACCCGAGAAATCACAAGACAAAGAAAAATGTCGCTCCGCGCGCAAAATTCCGCCTTGTGGAAAACCGTCTTGAAACCCAGTATAGCGGTTAATTGAAACGTTATTGAAAGTAACGTGGTAATACTACAAATATAGTAGGAGATATGTTGCGCGAAAATAGATTCGTGCACCATGATAATAGCTTCAAGGTCATGTCAGGCATGTAATACTTTTCCACTTCTTTGTGAATTATGTTTCAGTAATTATAAATTATTTCGTTTTTCATTTGTTTATCGTATTCAAGTGAGGTGGAAGGAAACTAAGATTCAATTTAAATTTTTTGTACTAAACTTTTCAGTTAGAAGATCTTATGATTCCTGTTCACATCGTTGCCATGAATTGTAAATCACCTTCGGCCTTGCATCTTTTGCGAGAAGCATTGAAATCGAACAAAGGAAGGTAAGGATATTCTGTATTATAGTACAAGAAATACATTAAATGTGATACCTACAAGTGTTACTATCAATGCTGCAGGGGCGCAGGTATGACACATCTACCTACTGTATACACACTTAATCATAATAAAAAATTCTATAAATGACAATTTATAAATCCTGAAAATTCTTAGGTAAAGTTTAGCACAGAGCATGTTTCGTATTTTGCTTGATTGCGGTGTCCAAACGAAGTCTCCCATCGCTTTATATTCGTTGCGTGAGTTTGTTAGTCTGTTGGTTTGTTAGTTTTGTGATGTTGTCTCTGAGTGTGTACACACCGCCGGACAAACTGAAACGTTTGCTTGACCGCGGTGCGAATCGAACCCGCGACCTTTGTTTGCTAGTCCAATGCTCGCCAATTGGGCTACGAGGTCAAGTCGGTTCAACCGAATGGGCGATATTTCGGAACTCAGTCTAGTTCCTTCGATATCAGTGTGTCTTTACGATCTTTGGTTTCTGGTGTTATGCACTCAGGTGAAGATATATGTGAAGACATAGTCGGTTGGTTTGTTCCGAATCTTAAGCCTTGGTAAGTAGTTTAGTAGGGGCCGATCGAGCGGGATTTTTGGGGCGGCGCAAGGGCGCCGCTCGTTAGTATGGAAGGGGGCATACACTAGCATAAAACGGGGCGCCGCATTGTCATTAGCATAAAACGGGGCGCTGCATGAGTTTGCGCATGACCATTAGCATAAAATGAGCTGGTGCAAGGCGGCGCAGCGTGAGGGAATGTTACGTAGTGACGTCATAGGCAAGACTTGGCACATTTGGATAATTTGAGGGGGCGTAATTTTTCCTGTTTAATTATCTGATCAAAACTAGAATAATTCTTGCACCGTAATTCTAAAGTGAGTTAATTGTAACATTCATAAATACGGTATGAAGTAAAAACTGTTATAATATCCAGGATGGTGGAATGGCACACCACGCGGTACGTGGATGTGTTCGGCTCAACTTCGCAAAGTCAACTGATTGCCATGGATAGTTAGGAATATTTTATGCACGGCGTTAGGGTGGGCCCTAAAATGGGGCTGAAGGCTAGCTTTTGGAGACAAAAATTTACATACACAGAATTCAGTTTTAAAACACATTTATTTCTTTACGCGATTTATTTCCATTCACGTAGAGTTTTCTTCTATTCTACTATCATGGCATCTAGATTGTAAACAGTTTTCATAAATTTCTTAAGCAGAGTCATTGTCACTATCTTCGTAAGAAATTTTCTCTTATCAATGCCAGTCTCTGATGCTTCCTCTTCGTCAAAGTTATCATCATTCACAAATACATCCCACGTTTTTGTAAGTCATTTCGACGATTTTGTAGAATTACTAAATATTCTTTGTTTTTTACCTTTTCTTCCTCAAGATCATCACCCACAAAGCTCTGTGTTAGTTCGTTAGATGCCTCTGCTTTTGAAGGTACTCGTGGATCGCTTTCGTTTTCGTATTCTACTTCATTGTCAGAATTGTCAAAATCACTTTCTGGGTTGTCTTCTTCATTACTTGCATACTTCATTTTTCTGTCCATATTCACGCTGTGATCTGAGTCAGATTCCGTTGAAGAGTGGTGATCTCGCAGAGGACAGTATTCTGTTTCGTGTCTATTTAGGTTAAAGCCACGATTAAACAATTTTAGACAATTATTGGACGAGGTTGAGCAAAATATCTTGATTATCAGTGGCGAGCAGATCAATTATTTGCCGATGCCGAAGGCAGAGGCAAATAACTGATCTCCGAGCCACTAATAAATTACGATATTTTGCGATAGCCGAGTTCAATAATTGTTTTATCATTTACCGATTAGTATTTGTGTTTTCGTGTTATCGATTAGTATTTGTGTTCTCCGCGTCCTTTTCCTCCAATAAAGATGAAAAATCACTTTCCGATAGCTCAGCAAAACGAGCCATGTTGACGTTTCAATCATTTTCAAATCATTTTCAAAGTGCGCATGCTCAATGAAGTATTTGCACCTGATCGATATTTGCACACAGTTATTTGCAGGTAAATTAACCAATCAAAATTGAGAATACTATAAAGTGAATGATAATCCGAAATATCTGCAGCTCATACCTTCATCACAAAAAGTCAGTTAATGATTTGGTTTATGAGCAACATACCATTTTGTGAGCGTACAAGCATTTGACAATGATTAATGAAGCCAAAATGTTCACAGAATGGCCCTGCATTTTATAATATGACCCGGAAGTCTAGACCTTTTATATGTAGCCTTGCGGTCCGAAGCTGGTGGTGAGCTACTCCCGATCAGCCCTAACACCACCTATATTCTCCTAACCCATCCCTAACAGAAGTCCTGATCGTAACACCAAATCTAACCTTAAGCCAACCCTAACACCATTCCTAAAGAAAATGGAGACACAATGTTGAAAAAATAAGGAACCCAAACCAAGCGCCAGACCTAACCATGACACTAGCATTAATAAGGTCCCAAATTTTGAACGTGTGTTAAAAATATCAGGTAGGAAATATGTTAGGTCCCCCCCGGCCCCCTCTCCCCGCCAATATTCCAGGGGGGGGAATCTACGTTTGTCAGATTGTCAGTGGATTTTGCCGACTGGTGATAACATAATAATTTAGCTCATTCTTGCCTTATTTTAGATTCCACAAATTTTCTTTCTGCGATGATTATAATAACGCCAAGTTAATACCCAGTTACGCGAATGATGGATTAAATGGCTTATCGAGTTTGTCAATCGTAGATCGTAGCAAAATGCAGGCGAAACTAGAAGTTGGAAAGAGGCAAGATGTCATTGAAATGAAACAAGAATTGGGTAAAGCTAGAGAAAATTTGGCAGAAGTTAAAGCGATACAGTTGTACATTAGTCAACAGAAACCTGCAATAACAAGTATGCTCCTTTTATGTTTTTTAGCTTTTAAAGTACATATACTTTCGCAACTCAGTGTCGCAACCCAGCCATACCAAGCAAATCGTTCTGTTCACGCAGTGTGGATTAATTCATTGGAGGACATGCAAAACCTCGACCACTATAGGCGTGAAAAGTATAACATATCTTTGTTAATAGTTCTTCCATGTCGCCATTTATAATCGACTACTTATACTGGACAGAATATATTCTTCCAGCATGCCTTTTGCGCGTAGAAATCGAAACTTTGCAACTTTGACTTTGACTTTGAAAAGGAAATCGTAATTGAATTAGCCGATACATTCACACCTATACATTCTAAATCATTAGTATTTAGGGTTGGGCGATTTAAAAAGTGATGGGAGGGGTGGGAAAAACAACAAAAAGGGGAAGAGAGGTCAGTTGTTGGGATGGGGAAAGGTGTCAGTTGTTGGGATGTAACCGCGTTACGCGCAAGTGACTGGAGTTCACTGCAAACCTGGGTCACTCCTACCACCTTAACAATCAACCTGTTAAGATTGCAACCAATCAAGTTGACCTGGGTGTAGTTGTGAGCAATTACCCTAAGTGGTCCCCGCACATTGCCAGCTGTACTTCTAAAGCCAACCGTTAGCTTGGTTCTCTTTGCAGAAATTGTTCTCAAGTGACCAATACTCGCTGCCGTCGACTTTTCTATTTCTCACTCGTCCGATCTCACCTGTCTTACGCCAGTGAGATCTTGGCACCTCGAGCCTCGTCACGCGATCGTGCGATCTTGGAAGGTGTTCAGAGACGAGCTACTAAATTTATACTTCAGCATGATGAGTTTTCTTATCTTGAGCGTCTTAGGAAACTTAATTTATTACCGTATATCTTATGGGCTTGAAATGCTGGATCTCATCTTTTTTTCAAATGCAAAGAAGGCCTCTACGGCGTAAATATCTCCTCTTTTGTCAACTTTTCTTCTAATTGCTTGCTTCAAGTCAATAGAAACTCTTTTTGTATGATTGTAAAATGAAAATATTTTAAAGAAAATGTCAATATTTTCCCAGTATCTTTTTGCAATACTGCATTTACCGACAAGATGTAATAAGTGTCTCTTTCCTATAACATCCTCTTTTCTATTTTCTAATTATTTTCCGCTTCTGTGGCCCCAATTTATTTATTAAATCTGAAGCCGTGAAGCTCTGAGTTACGTTTCCTATTACCGAAGTCCTCAGGCTTACATACATTCTTCAAAACGTTTCACCTGGTGGCACAGTCCCCCGTCACAACTCACGAGCTACGCGATCCCAAATCTGCTCGGTTCACTCACAAGGTTATAACGTACTGCAAATTATTTTTGGTTTCCTGCAAAATATACAGGCGCAGAAGAGAGTGAAAAAATCGTACAAAGAGGAACGATTCACTGAAATAAATATCCTAAGAATTCATCGAAACTGAAAATTCCCCCACCCCTCCCATCATTTTTCTAATGGTTCCTCTCCTAATAAAATATAATCTATATTTGTGCGCTTATGCTCTATACTATATATGAATGAGCTTCTATCCTCTGTGGATCCTTCTGCTCAGGATACCTCAGTCTTTAGGTCCCCATGAGTTTTTCCTAGTTCACAACATACTGTGTCATATTAACAACACCGTTGTCCCGCTTCTGTGAATGGCTACATATTGGACCAATAAAGCGACCCTGTATGTGTTGTATGTTTTGTAAGGTATGACTGCTCTCTTGTTTACCACTATTCGCCATTATTTTAGACACTGCACCTGAACAGGAAGAGAGACCCGAAACTCCCAAAGAGAAAACTGGAAGTGAGCTCTACATGGGTTCTAAGGAATGGCTAAAGGTAACTGGGTTGTTGTAGAACCCTTTCTCATTACTTTTTTTTCATTCTCAACACAATAAATTAATACAGCTAAGAGTGAGAATATAGTTTCAATGATGGTAATATCGTCTTTGCCATGAACGTATAGCTCTTCAAAATCAATCTGTCAATCAGTCTGTCAATCTAGAATAAAATAATTAATTTAATTAAAATAATATTACTGCTATTTTAGAAACACAGCTTGCATACGAAGAAGCTTGGGTTTTATGATGTGCTTCAAAACATGGCCTTCAAACATTGTGATGGCGTAATTGATGTTCCTAATCACCATGGTGACGGTACGATGCCTGCAGTGAAATCAAAGTTGGTGGATGCTAAATATTGTGAAAAATTTGCTCATGTTAGGTAAGGTATAAATATTTCCATATTGGGGCTATGAGTGCATGTCCACAGAAATTTAGGAAGAGTCAATTTGTTGATTTTTCTTCTCCTACACGCGTAAAAATGATGAGCCTGTTGTTTAACAGGATTGAACAATGTTTTGCGGCCCACATTGTTCACACTTGTCAATAATATTGAACATTGAGCCTGAATCGGGTGTAACAATATTGCTCAATGTGGGCCGCACAACATTGTTCAATCCTGTATCAATATTGCAACCTGATCGTTTTTAGCTGTGTATTTCACAATTGGGCTAACGCAGAACTTCTACAGTACTTTCGCACTTCAAGATTTGCTATGAAAAAAAAGCTATAGCTCTTCATATTTCGACTGCTATAACTCTACATAATTTTGTAATTAAAAATGATATTTTTGGGAGATTTTTCAATTTTACTTCATGTTCGGAAAATATAATGGTTTTGTCAGCAAGGCGAAGGTTTCTGCATGCACGTATTTTCTAGTATAACTGTATTTGTCCATCATTTTAAATTCAAGTGAAGTGTAAGTGACACGTTTCCACCATTCACCATGTAGACAACATTTCCACCATTCGCAAATGTACTGAAATATTCCCCTTCCACCTCCCCCAGTTCAACCACCAATTTAGTCTTACGAAGCGACATATGCTTTGCAAGTACGTTCCAAAGTCTAACACGATTTATAAGACAAGATAAGACATACACCTGTACAAAAGTCATATTTATATCACTTTCGCTTTGCATATAGATGGAAAGATGGAGATATCCGTCATGTCCACATCAGTGCTGAAGTTCACAGAAACTTTGAACGTCGAGTAACTGCTACGTTGGAATCTTATAAAAAGAGGTATGTATGTTTAAGTGACACACTGGTAAGTGTATGCGCCTTTCCCGTGCGTGACTGGGATTCGATTCTTTCAATATACGGTTCTCTGATTATAATCCTTATTTGCAGCATATTCTGTCAAGATATGGTGGTTTGGAAGCCCTGAAAACGTTAATTGCTACAAAAAAGATCTAGAACACCTTTGTTTGATGTTGAACTGTACTTCACCGTGCATATATCCTATATCTCAACTTTAAATTAAAATAAGCTCAGACATAAACACAACACAATTTATATGACTTCTGTTTAGTTTCCAGACCATCATATTATGATAGACTATGTTTGCATGGCAAACACCACGACCAGGTTTTTACGGATACTTCTGTTTTTTGTAGTAACACTGGATCATAATAGTTTAATTCCCATTCCCTGTTCAATTTCTTTACTAATTACCAATACTATATCAAGATTTGTGTATCAGTGTGATTTTTATTCATTCTACTATCTGATAATTATTAGCTTTTCAAATTCTTCTTCATTACTTTCTTTAATTAGAATACAATGGCTTCGTAAAGGTAGCCGAGAATTGTTTGGAACAATAATTGAAGACCAGGTTCGTTTCTATTGGGTTTACTTTGAAATCTAAAGAGTCATCTCGATCCCTTTAGAAGAGTGGTTCTGTGGTCGAAACGGTAGTTTATGTTTCTTTAGGCCTGGTCCCAGGATAAGCACCAGCATGATTTTTTGTATAGAAACAATAGAAACAGTTAGACTATACATCAGAATCATCCATATGCAATATCCATGCATGCATGCCAAATTTAATTTCGCGAAACCTTTCTGTCCTGGAAGCGTGCCTTTTAAGCCTGTGAAAGGACTGAGACTACTGCCTTGATCCCCAGAATGACTTTATTGAAGGGATTGAAATGACTCTTTTGAATATACGATGTTGTTACATGTGAAAACTATATATGCATATCCTTCGGGTTGTTTGAGATAATTTATCAATTTTTTCCGACTTGTAAGACCTACACATTTATATTCATTATAGATAACGATTTTGATTGACACGTCAGCATCCATGAACTCGCGTCTGTTCTTGGTCAAAGACAAGTTGTACCAGCTTCTTCAGGTATGATTCCTTAGATTCAGATGACAATTTTATAAAACATGTTCAAAGTTGGGCGAAGCTTTTCTGCTAAAAAGTGAAAACACCATTCCTTCACAAGTTTTGTCACCATCAGCGTCATTTGTATCAGTCTTTAAAAGAGGGATGGATTTACTGGGGCGGGGCGGGGGGTGGGGGGGGGGGCACTCCCCTAGCCCTGGCCAGAGAGGGTGCAGGGGGGTGCTATTTTTCATGATAAAGCAAAAAATTGTTAGAGACAAAATGAGATACAGTAATTTGAGTAATAACATGATGATAAGCGGACTGTGAACAACAATTACAATTCAAATACAGCAGTCAAGCAAGATTTTGCAGTAGTGAAGCAAGTTGATGGGCGGGCGCCACACGTGACCAACACAACTCGGTACTAGAGCTGGCAGACCACCCCCTACCAGATCATGCTGGATCCATCCCTGCTTTAAAAACCGAATTAACTTTTTAATTGTTTCTTGAATCTTGATCAGGGTCTTGATAACCCTTGGGAGCAATCTGGTACTCTACGTAATATACTGCCAATCAATGTTGTGGTGGAATTTGGCGGCGAAGTGTGGCGGCGGAGTGTGGCAGTGGAGAGTGTTGTGGTGAAGTGTGGCGGCGGAGTATGGCCGCGGAACTCCGCCGCCACATTCCGCCGCCACATTCCGCCGCCACACTCCGCCGCCACACTCCGCCGCCACCACACCCCACCGCCACCACACTCCGCCGCCACCACACTCCGCCGCCACCACACTCCGCCGCCACCACACTCCGCCGCCACCACACTCCGCCGCCACCACACTCCGCCGCCACATCTTCCGCCACACTTCGCCACCAAACTCCACCTCCACACTCCACCACCACACTCCACCACCACACTCCACCACCACACTCCACCA